ACACTTTTCAAACCTCATTTAATGCTGGTAAGTTAATAAAACCATCATGAGATGTAAAAATATTAATTTTCATTAAACTTACCTCTTCATACTCCCAAGTACAGATGACAACAGCAGGAAGAGGTAATTAACACTCAAAAGCTTGAAAAGTAAATGTGGTCGTTTGAAAAATGGACAAGAACACAGCTTAATATGAGGAGTATTCCCGCATATACTCTTCCTTACTCTAATTTACTCTGGCCTGACTCAGAACATGAGTTCTGTAAAAACACTCTCGACTAACTGGAAGTGAGTTCTTTCTTACTGGGTCCCCACTATGTGGAAGGCATGATGGCGGACTCCGAATGAGGAAGGCATGTTTCTTACCCAGTCAGAGCTCACAGCCCAGCAGTGTTTAGGCTAGTATCCAAAAACAATTATGCAAGACAAAATAACATGAAATTCAAATAAAAGAGCAGTTGCAGCAAAACCACCCCCAGGGTGTGGAGGCAGGAGTGCCGGCAGCTGTCGGGAGGGGAGGGCCTAGGAGTTGTGGGGCTCAGCAGCTCAGTCTCTCCGACTTTCTCCTGCGTGTCTTGCCCCTCTCATCCTTCCGCAAGGCAAACTATAGGATCCAGAATTTCTCTTCCCCAATGCAGGTGACAGGAACCAGAACCCCTTTCCCCAAAGCTAGCCATAAAACCTAAAAATACTACTCTAGCCTTCCCCACGCCTTTCCGTGTAACAGCTGGCCATAAAGACCTTGGACAAGAGGATCCTGCGCCATTCCTGGAAGGAAGAAATGCTACAACAGAGAGGCCAAGAAGAACCTGGAGACAGGCCTTGCTGGGCTTCCCCACTCGGTCTATTTCCATCGGCTCACACCCTTTTTTCCAATTGGATTTCCACATGGCCGTCTGTGCTTCTTCAAATCTAAGCAAAATCTGGAGAGTTCACCCTGGGTCTCTGGTCTTCATTCTGAAAGCTCCTGTGTCATGTAAAACTATGACTGAACATGTGTTTTGCTTTTCTATTGTTAATGTTTGGCATAGGGGTGTCAGCCATGACCCTTATGATGGGGTAGAGAGGGATCACCCCCTTTCTGCCCCTACAGAGTGAATCAAAGAAGGTTCTGAGCACCGTTCTGCTGATGGAATTCACGCACGGAACCTATGTCTCCTGTCAGCCCAAAGCCCCCTCCCTTCAGCGCTGAGGAAGGAGGGGCCTGCTGGGTCTCGACCTGATGGCACTGCCTCGGTGTATAAGAGCAGCAGAAACACACCTCGGGGATTGGCACCTGGTCTTACTCTGCCAAAAATGCCTTGGGATCTGCTCTGATCCTGCGATGGCTGCAGCATCACAAAGTGAGACTGACAGAACAAAGGTCTCCCGCAAACATCTCCATGCCCTAATCCCTGGAACCTTTGACTACAGCACCTCACACGGCAAAGGGACTTTGCACATGCGATTAATTAGGGAAGCTGAGATGAGATCATCCTGGGCAGCCTACATGGGCCCCGAATCCCATGGCAGATAGCCTTATGAGGGACAGGAGAGAAGACAGACACCGAGGAGGGGCCATGTGAAGACAGAGCAGAACCGGGAGCTGTGCGGCCACTTGCCGGGGAACACCTGGAATCACCAGAAGCTGAAAAATGTAGGGAGGGACTTTCCATACAGCCTTTGGAGGGAGGGCAGCCTTGACAGCACCTGGAATTCTGGTTTTGGATTCTGTGAGCCGAGAATACATTTTTGTTGTCTTAAGCTTCCCAGTCTGTGGTAATTTGCTATGGAAGCCCTAGCAAATGAACACAGTTACTAAGGAACTCTTCTGTGTCAAGTCAGGATAGCAAAGCCTGCCTTGGCTCAGGCGGAGTAAAATAGCCAAGTGATGGAAGAACTGCCAGGGGGAAGCCATGGAATCTGCACCCTGTAGATCTGACTGGTAAGATGTTCTCAAGGTAACAGGATCTCATTCAGCCTGCCCAAAGAAACTGTTTCACCTGTTGGCCCAGTCCACAGTTAGAAGACTAAAGGCAAAAGGAACTGTATATATTAATAAAAACCAGGCTCTCATTGATTCAGTGGTTCCCATAGGGCGAGATGGCAATTCCAATGCTGTCATACACACGTATGTACTGAAAAGTAGGCAAATGAGCCACAGGCGATGGGAGCCAGGTTTCTCACTGTTGGAGTGGGAGGTGAGAGACAGCAGGGAAAAGGCGAGAGTGATCCATGGGGTAAAGGATTAGGGCTGGAGACACCAGTGTGGACTCACAGAAACAGCTGGTTCCATACAGAAGTATTTACTGATACGTGTATACACACAGGTCAGTACACACAGACATTTCCTTGCTCCATCAGCTGAGAGGACCTAAAAGCAATGCCACCACAGTCTAAATAAGCACACCAGCATCCAGCTTGTGGTTTCCAACAACATCTCCAAGAGAGGGGACCAGGGTTCCCTAGAGAAATGGCTGAACCTAAGACTGGAGCAGGAAATACACAAGAAGAATCTAGGGCATCTAGCAATATCGGAAAGCAAGGAAGTGCTCAAAAATAAACAAACCCACCAGCCCAGAATGATGGGGCAAGTCAAAGGGACACAAGAGACGACAGAACAAGCTACCAATGACCAAAGCAGGAACAACTGGAGAACAAAATAAGGAGTACTGGATTAGAACCTAAAGTATAAAATAAGTGTCTGTGAGTCCATAATGATATAAATGACTGAGTAAATAAATGCAAGAAAACAGATAAACCTCCTACACGGAAGAATTCCAAATAACATATGTAGACACTTTCCCCTTAAGGAGATGAAGTCTAAATAACTCCTCCCTCCAGAAGTGCAGGCTGCTCACTATGACTTCCTTTCAGAGCACAGTATGAAGGGAGGGGGAAAGTGTGATTTTACAGTGGAGAAACCTGCCAATCACTATTTCAGTCAGGTAAGCAAGGTCAACAGCAAAAGAGAGAAGTCTTGTAGACGGTATGTAGGCTTGATACGATGTAACAAAAATGACACTTTACCTCCGTGGTCTTCCTCCCAATCCCCACACCCCTGTGGCACTGACTCCGTGGGGTGAGGGCTAAAGCAAATCATCAATTACACTGGGTTGCTGTGAACTGAGATTTCTGGAGTGGAAGAAAGGGGTATGGATATAAGTTCTATGACATTAAGCAAAAACGCTGCAGTCCAGAAACAGACTTGGATGTTACCAGTAGGCACTCATGAAATATTTTATCTTGAACAATGGTTTTCCCTGTCTGTTGAAATGGCTTAAAAACAACTGCCAATCCAACAGTAATGAGCACCCTGTTAGGTCCAGATTACGGTCTTTAAGTATCATTTTTCACTTTAAAACAGCTAACTAGGGCTCCTTGGAGAAACAGCTGATTCCAGATTTGAGGGAATAAATCTGACCATAACTTCCTCTTACTGTTGGGAGGAACTTCAAAACATATGATGACCTACTGAATCCTCTCTGCCTGGCTCCCTCTCCAGTCCCATCTCCTCCCTGCCAAGGACTCAGTCACATTCACTTTCTTTTGTCTCCTCAAATCTGTGGTTGGCAGAATAATGGCCACCCAAAGGTGTTCACATCCTAATCCCTGGAACCTATGAACATGTTACCTCCTATGCCAAAAGGGACTTCACAGATGTAAGGACCTTGAAATGCAGAGATTAATCTGGATTATCCAAGTGGGCCCAATCTAATCAAATGAGGAATCCTTAAAACTGGAAAACCTGTCCTGGATCAGATCAGACAGATGTGATGACAAAAGCAGGGTCAGAAAAGGGCAATGTTGTTAGCTTGGAATATGAGGAAAGGGCCAATAAGCCAAGGAATGCAGGTGGCCTCTAGCAGCTGCAAAAAGCAAGAAAACAGATTCTCCCTAGAGCCTCCAGACAGCTGTTATTATACACATCTTTTTAATTAAAAAGTCCAAAATCACCCAGCTAGTAAGTGGCAATGGGAGGACGAGAAGCCAGGCGGTCTGACACAGAAGTTGGTGCCCTTAACCATGATGCTAATATTTGTCTCCCACATAACAGAAATTTCAATACCTTTTTCATTTATTAACATGATACCCTCCAGTGTTCAGAACAGCTTAATAAATAGCTGCTGAATATGAATGAATGGGACAAAGATACAATTTCCCCCTGCTATTCTTGGTAAAAAAATAAAAATAAAAATAAAATTAAAAAAAACTCTGTTATGGAAAGTAAAATATGTACAAAACTAGGGTAATGATAGAAGGAGCTCTCAAATACTCATCGCCCAACTTCAACACTTAGCAACATAGGACCAGTCTTAATGCCAACATTAGTTTGGTATTATATTGTCTGGAAATACTCCCCCTTCAATAGTCTTTTTCAGAATCACATGTTCCCAGCTCTCATTACATTTTCATTTATCTGTGTCAACTTGAATTTTAAAAAGAAACTTAAAATGGGCAGGTCTTTCTAAGCAAAACACAAAACAAAGACACTGTAAAGGGGAGATCAATAGTTTAACTACATAAAACTAAAATTTTTTGCAAAGCCTAGAGATTGTATTACACAAAGTATAAAAAAAATAGGGTGGAAATAGTTATAGTATATATGACAAAAGATTCGTATTCTCAATATATAATTCTTATAAGTCAAAAGACCACACACCCCAAAGAAAAATAGATGCAGAAATGAACATACAGTTTCTCTACTATTCTTCCCTTCCCTCCTCCTTTAATTTTTTGAGACAGGGTCTCACTCTGTTGCCCAGGCTGGAGCACAGTGGCATAATCAGTGTAATCACAGCTCACTGCAGCCTCAGTCTCCTGGGATCAAACAATCCTCCCGCCTCAGCCTCCTAAACTGCTGGAATTACAGTATGAGCCACCATACCTGGCCCCCCACCACTATTCTTAAATGACAAAGAGACAAGGGCTTCCAACTGACACTATTTGTCAGCATACTTCTTGTGGTGCTCTAGAACTTGAGCAATGAACACTCTAGAACAGAGAGTAAGAGTTCTCACCTGTAAGCTTGTTTCTTCAAGGAAGTGTTGCCTTAGAATCCAGATCCACAGTAAGCCTGAGAGTCTTAAAAACTTGTGACTTCAGGGTCCTTCCACATGACTCAAGACAAAGTAAATCTACCTCATAGGGTGACCAGAAAGTCCACGGGGACCAAATATCCAGTTTTCGGTCCTGTTGGGAGGTAAGAGAAGAGGAAGTCAACTGAAGAAAATTAAACATTTAAGCAATAAGGGGCTTAAAAACAAACATAACTGACCTAACTCCCATTAGAAGGCAATCTGAGACCCTGGGCATATGCCCAAGGAAGGAATATATTTTTGTTCAGTGCAAAAATGTAGTTCACATGCTTGAGGGGCCAAAGAATGCCTTGAATACAGGCACCTTCCAGTGACCTAGAGAAAGGGTTCAAAGTTCTCAAGACCTCCTTGACAAAATGTGGCACACATATGTAATGGAGTACTATTCAGCCATTAAAAAGGAGATCCTGTCATTTGCAACAATATGGTGGAGCTGGAGGTCATTATGTGAAGTGAAATAACCCAGGTAGGCACATAAAGACAAACTTTGCATGTTCTTACTCATTTGTGGGAGCCAAAAATTAAAACAATTGAATTCACTGAGATAGAGATCAGAATGATGGTTACTAGAGGCTAGGAAGGGTAGTGGGGGGTTGGGGGAAAGTAGAGATGGTTAATGGGTACAGAAACATAGAAAGCAGGAATAAGATCTAGTATTTGATAGCACAATAGGGTGACTATAGTCAGTAATAATGTAATTGTACATTTAAAAATAACTAAAAGAGTATCATTAGATTGTAACACAAAAGATAAATGCTTGAAGTGATGGATACCACATTTACCCTGATTATTTATGTGATTATTACACATTGTATCTCATATACCCTGTAATGAGCGTTATTACACATTGTATCTCATATACACCTACTACTAGGTACCCACAAAAATTAATCAAGAAAGAACTCTGAGAAATAACAGCTCTATATACTCTCCCACAAGTAAGAAAAGTAAAAAGAAAAAGAGAAAAAATGTATTCTCAGCCATCAGGCAAAGCCGATTTTAGTAATGCTGAGCTCCTATTTTGGTAATGTTGAGCTTCTTTGATGAGGGTTTCCAAGTCTTTAAAGTCAGATACATTTAGATTTTAAAAAAGTCAAACCACTTCTGAAGTAGACTTGCCAAAAATGGCGAGCATGAACCTAATTAAGCCTCTAACTCTAACTTCTAGTTTACAGGAAATATAGGGGATAGAGAAGTAAGCCAAACCATACTCCACCAAAAGCAGCCCAACAGATCCAGAACGTGAGGCACTCTACAGGCAATCAACCAAGCAACATCGACAGTCATTGGCATTAAAGAAACCCGCCAAGGCTGCTCTAGACCTGGGTCGACAAACCACAGCCTGCGGGTCAGTCCAGCCTGTGGGTGGATTTTAAAACACAAAGGTTTTGGAAATTAAGTATTATTGGAACACAGCCACGCTTATCCATTTACTATCACCCCTGGCTACTTCTGCATGACAATAGCAGAGCTGAGCAGTTACGGCAGAGACCATAGGGCCTGCAAAGCCTGAAAGAGCTGGTATCTGGCCCTTCACAGAGAAATTTGCCACCCCTGCCCTAGACTGAAAGAGACAACAGCTGGGCATGGTAGCTTACATCTGTAATCGCAGAACTTTGGGAGGCTGAGGCAGGTGGATCACTTGAGTTCAGGAGTTCGAGACCAGCCTGGCCAACATGGTGAAACCCCGTCTCTACTAAAAATACAAAAAAAGTAGCTGGGCGTGGTGGCATACACCTGTAATCCCAGCTACTTGGGAGGCTGAGGCAGGAGAATCGCTTGAACCCAGAAGGCAGAGGTTGCAGTGAGCCAAGATTGTGCCACTGCACTCCAGCCTGGGTGACAAGAGTCAATGAGACTCCATTGGGGGTTAGGGGAACAACCAACCAGCCTGGGCAATACCTATCTCTACAACAACAACAAAAAAATTAGCTGGGTGTTGTGGCACATGCCTGTAATCCCAACTACTCAGGAGGCTGAGGTGGGAGGATGGCTTGAATCCAGGAGTTTGAGGTTACAGTGAGCCATGATCTCAACAGAGCTGGATCCTGTCTCAAAAAATAAAAAGATAACAGATAGTCAACAAATTCTTGTCTGGATTTGGATTCAAACAAACCAACAGTAAAAATAAGTTAATTTTTGAGGTGATCAGGTAAATTTGATCATGGGCTAGGTTTTAGAAAATATTAAGGAATTATTGTCAATTTCATCAGGAGGTGATAATTGTATTATGGTTACACAAGCAAATGCCCTTTCCCTGGAGAAGCATGGTGAACAATTTAGGGGTGAAATGTTATGTTGTCTGGAATAAACTGCTTTAAACTGCTTCAGCCACAACCAAAAAAAGAAAAAAAAAGATGAAGTGGATATGGCCAAACGAGACTTGTGAAGTCCATTTGATGGATATATGGAAATTCATTCTACTACTTTGCTGTGCTTTCATGTTTGCTTAAAATTTTCCCAATAAACAAGCAAAAAAAAAAAAAAAAAATCAGAACCTTGATTGAAAAGTAGAGGTTATCACCAGAGAGCCTTGCTTTCCAGGCACCCCCACCCCCACCCCACCCCTCTTCAGGCGCAGTCCAGGCTCAGCACGCCAGCTGTTTGCCTTTCTCGAACACACTGTCATTTTCAGCTTATTTTTGCTCATGGTGTTGGCCACCCTTTCCACTCTTCTGCCTATAAAAATCCACTCTCTGCTTAAGGTCTGTCCAACTGTGACCTTCTCCTGGCCCTCCAGTGAGCACTCACCTCTCAGCTCCAACAGCACACTGCCTCTGGTTTCATTCTTCTCTACGTTCTAGCTATTTACCAGGTCTGTTACCTCATGATGCCATACAATCCCAGAGACTTCCAACAGCTGAGTCTTTTCTGTAAATCCATTTGAGGGGGTATCAAGACGCCTTTACGGAGCAAGCTCCGCAGTCCAGGGGCAGCTCCTCACAGCCTAAACACGGCTGCCTTATCCTGAGCAGTTTTACTGACAATAGAGCTTCGACTGAAGAATGAATTCCTCTTCAGCAAGACACTGAGCACTAATGTTTAATTGAAGCCTCTTAAAATTCCTAATAGATTTTGCCTAGATGGAGGATGTTCTAAAGAGGGCTGCGAATATTTCGTGTTTTTGTCTTCTTATTGTCACCCTTCCTTGGGTCCTGTCCCTCTTCAAGCACGCCTGCACTACACCTCCACACCAGTCTGCCGGTGCCCTAATCCCTGGTAAGGGCCCTGGCTCCAGGTGGGTACAAAGCCTCCCAATGACTTCAAGAATGGACACAGATTGGAAATCTTACTAGTAAAGAGAAAAATGAATAGATCATTTTAAAATCCCTCTTCAGTTCTACTTACGGCTACCCACTATCCAGAGAACCACAAACCACCACCCTCTCCTGACTAGTAGTAGGTAGGTCCTGGTTAGTAAAGTCAAGTAGCCCAAAGTATTTCCATACAAAAATCCACCAATTCGAAATTAATTTAACTTTGCAAACTCAGCTTTTACAGTACGAATCTCTGCGAGAGCACAGTGGTTTGCTTACGGAGGAAAGTCTGGCTTCTCCTGGGAATAGTTGCAGGCAAACAAGGCATTTTGGGAAAATACGGGCAAACTGCAGGTGCTCCTCATCTGAGCATTTCGATCAACTGAATGAGGCCAGGGAAAAGTCGTCTTCATTTACAGGTAAATGTACATAAGGACACGTACGTGTGTGAAGACCTACACTTTATATAGCTCACCTGTAGTTTTCCATTAATCATTTTTCCTGGGACATTTAGCAAAATAAATCACATGCTTTTAAAAAAGGCCACAAATTCCGGGTGCGGTGGCTCACGCCTGTAATCCCAACACTTTGGGAGGCCAAGGCGGGCGGATCACGAGGACAGGAGTTCGAGACCAGCCTGGCCAACATGGTGAAACCCCGTCTCTACTAAAAACACAAAAATAGCTGGGCGTGGTTGCAGGCGCCTGTAATCCCAGCTACTTGGGAGGCTGAGGCAGGAGAATCGCTTGAACCCGGGAGGCAGAGGCTGCAGTGAGCCGAGAGCGCGCCACTGCACTCCTTCCTGGGCGACAGGGCAAGACTCCATCCCAAACAACAACAAAAAAGGCCAGAAATCTAGTACATTTTCTTATCACTTCAATATGAATCAACTAAGCGTGGAGTTAAGAAGCTGTGTTCCAAAAACACTTAAGTCGGCTTTTGAGCCTATGGCGTTCTCCTTGGCCCACGGAGTAAAATAGCAATGATAACCATAATTAATAATCAAGTTAATAAATTTCTTCAAAATTTCAGAATTTTCACTAACGGCTCCAAAGAAACCTTAGATCAGAAATTCACAAGTGCCAGGAGACGTTTTTAGATTTCTTTTGCTGCTTCCAGTCTCCTTACTAACGGGAAATCTTTAAGAACAATTTCTGAGAAGCGTTAGCCTGGTTCAGCCGAGGTCCTCTGAAAGCCAGCGTGTGGGCGGCCACGTTTCCTTTACAAGGAAGCAGCGTCCGTGCGTGAGGCGGTTCCTGGCTTTGGCCGCCCTCCGCCCGTTCTGGCAATCGCGCCCATGGCCCCCGCGCGAGGCAATGGAGGACGCGTTTCGGGGTCCACCGTCCTCTCCCTCCGGCTGGCCTCGCCGGCGGCGCCCCAGGCTTCCTCCCTCACCCCCGGGGACGCCGGGTGCTGCGGCCTCGGCCCAGACGCCGCGCAGGGAGCGGCGCCCCGAGTTCCCGCGGGGCTCAGGACACCTCCCGCGGGGGGCGGAGCGGACGCTTCCCCGACCCCCTCCCGCGCTCAGCGCCTCACCTGCCGGCAGCCGGGGCGTCGGGGAGGGCCGGACCGGGGCGGAAATGCAGGGCCGGGCCCGCGCCTCTGCTCCCAGGCCGCCCCCGGCGGCGCCCCCTGCAGGCGGGACGCGAGGCCCGCCCGCCCCTGCTGGGCCCTCGCACACACCTGGCCGCACGCACAACTGACCGCCTAAGAGCCGGACCCACCCACGCCGATGCCCGCCGGAGACGCCCCGCCGCAGACACAGCGCAACCAGCTTCACACACCTGGGGACACCCCACAGAAGTCACATCCACCCTAACACACCTGAGCACTCAGGCTCAAGCCCCGATTGCATGGTGGACCCAGACACCTGGGCCACACCCCACAAAACACAGACTCACGACTCCACAAGCTTGAGGACACAGCACCTCAGATGGACGCACACTCACACACAAATGAACCCAAAGCTCAGACACACCTGGGGATGCAAACCATGTGTGTATCTATCACATCACACATTACCAAGGGCCCCCAGCTGAGCATGCACACAGCCCTGATACGGAGTCCAGACGGTCATCTAGTCACACTGCCCACTTATTTACCAATACTCTCTTAAAATGAAACTGTGGTTGAAGGAGACAATGGAAGAATGACATCACCTCTTCCCTAGCTCCAGGACTAATTTAAGCCCCAGAAATTACAGGACTGAGAACCAAAATCAGAAGAGAAAATTTTCCCTAGAGACATTGGGTTGAAGCAATGCCATTTGGGGGCCAGGTGGTAGGAATGGTACAGATATGGAGAGAGTGACACTTCTGTCTCTCCGAAAGCCACAAATCTGTGTTTATCAGATTAGCAATAATCCCCCTTAATCATTTCCTGCCCTTTCTACTTGCTCATGGACGTGGACTGATTGAAACCTTTATATAAATTGGTTTTTATCCAAACATTTCCAACAATGAGATGTGATCGCATTTTGAACAGATGTACAATTCCAAAAGAAATCTAAACCATCAGGTACATAAGTAGTTGGTTTTCACAGAGTTTTTTCTTGTCTTGGACACTTCATGATTAAATTGAAATGTATTTTAAAAAAACTTGTCTAGCTCATATTAATATTTTTAAAGGGAGCAGTAATAACTTTTTGAAGCGAAAGAATGATTCCACTTTCATTTCTTTTTTGAGGGAGGAAAATCATGTCAGCAAAGGAAAGTAAGGCAAATAGATTAATTCTTCTGATAAAGGAAAATTAAAGATGACAGGATGAATTTTTTGTTTGTTTTGAGATGGGTGCTCACTCTGTCACCTAGGTTGGAGTACAGTAGCATGTGCTGGCTCATTGCAACCTCTGCTTCCCAGGCTCGAGTGATCCTCCTGCCTTAGCCTCCCGAGTAGCTGGGACCACAGGCATGCACCACCACGCCCGGCTAATTTCTTGTATTTTTGGTAGAGACAGGATTTCACCATGTCACCCAGGCTGGTCTTGAACTCCTGAGCTCAGGCAATCCCAAAGCGATGGGATTACACATATGAGCCACAGCACCTGGTCAAGACAAATGTTAAGTTGCATCTATCACCAGGTAAGGCTGGGAAAGCCCAATTTAACATAGAATAGGCTCTGTGGGATGAAGCCTTCAGATTAACTTCTTGGAAAACAACTCACAGTTTAAAGAGCAGTTTTTGAAATGTGGTCCCAGTCCAGCAGCATCGGCAGCATCTGGGTATTTAGAAATGCACAATCTCCAGCCACACCGGAGGTGTCCTGACTCGGGGGGTGAGGCCCAGAGATGTACATTTTAATGAGTGATGCCAGTTCAAGTTTGAGAACCATCGTCTTTTGAGGATGTACCTCAGTGCTTCTCAAACTTTAATGTGCATGTGAATCAACCCAGGATCTTGTTGAAAAGTGTAGATTCTGGTTCAGCTAGCCAGGAGTAGGGTCTGAGATTCTGCAGGTGGACAGAGGGTGCTAAGTAAGGATTTTCTTGTGTATGGACACACTCAGGGTGCTGTCACTGTGAAGACAGCTCCACAGCAAAGCAAGGGTCTCATAGAGATAAAACTCACAAAGTGTTTCAAGGAAACGGACTGGTCAGTCTAGGCAGGTCCCGGGCTTGTCACATTTAGGGGTGGTCAGTTACTCAGGATCCCTTGGCAAGCCAACTGCTCTGGTGGCTTTTAGGAAGTGGGTTGACTCACCAAATCTGTTTGGTTGCGTCCAAATGGTACTATTGAGTGATTCACTGCAAAGGGTTCAGCTCTGTTCATTCTGGCCCCTTTACTCTGCCTTTTTACAAACTCCCACATCCTTTAGGCTTCGGGTCATGCAGTCAGCAAATCACTATGCACCTGTGTTAGTCTGTTCTTGCATTGCTATAAAGAACTACCTGAGACTTGGTAATTTATAAAGAAAAGAGGTTTAATTGACTCACAGTTCCACAGGCTGTACAGGAAGCATGACTGGGGAAGCCTCAGGAAACTTACGACATGGCAGAAGGTGAAAAGGAAAGAGTCACATCTTAAATTCTTAAATGGCCACAGACGGAGAGAGAGTAAAGGAGGAGGTGCCACACAGTTTTAAACAGCCAGATCCTGTGAGAACTCACTCACTATCACGAGAACAGCCAGGGGGAAATCCGTCCCCATGATTCAATCACCTCCCACCAGGCCCCTCCTCCAACACCAGGGATTACTATTCGGCATGAGATTTGGGTGGGGTCATAGACCCAAATCATATCAGCACCTGTTCAAAGCTCAGCAAACGTTTTCTTTATCAACTCCAAGGATTTAAACCAGCAAATTGTCTTTAACCAGAATTAACCAGTTTGGCATTTGTACTGCCTAAATCAGAGCAGGTAATTGCTGATCTCTGTTTTCTAGACCTGGGTGTAATGTCTAATTTACATTCCTATTTAAATACATTGCCACTTAATATTATGTAAAGGAGGTCAACCTCCTCTGGGTGTTACCTCTCCTGCATGTCTCCAGCATTGCAAGTACCACTCAATAGAGGGGAAGATATTCCCTGCGTCTCTTGAAACTCTAGTTATAATGTGAAATAAACAACCGAAAGGAGGTGCTATATAAGAAGCTTGAAGTCCAACTGAATAACACCATAAAATCTGCTGAAGTATTACCAAATTATTCCAGTAAACCATTCAATAATCATCTTTGGGCCTAAATAGCCTGCAGACTAAATCCAACCTGGTTGTCTGCGGCCTTCAAATAATGAGTTTTACATTTTTAAATACTTAATTTTAATTTTAAATTACATTTTAAACACTTTACATTTTGGAAACAAAAGAATCATAATAGTTCATGAGATTTAAGTTTCAGGGTCTGTATATAAAATTTGGTTTGTTGACACTGTCTGTGACTGCTTTCACAGGACAGCGGCAGCACTGAGTAACTGCCGCTGAGACCATATGGCCTGTAAAGCCTAAAATACTTAACTTCTTCCCTTTTACAGAAAGTTTGCCCACCCTGCAAACTGTGTTTCTTGCTCTTGCGTCTGTTTCAACACCTTCCTCTCCTTTCTGTAACTGCCTCCCTACTGAACCCAGTTTCACGAGCACAGACCTTAATGCTTTGTGTGTATGTTTCAAGGACCTCATGCCATGAGGTTTACTTTCTGATCATTTCCCTTTGCAAATCAGTATGAACTTAATAAGAAGACTTTCAAGTTTCAACATAGGATTATTAGGCTAATTCAGAAAATGTGTGTGCAAAAGACAGCAAATAGTGTATATTTTGCAAACCATTGGATTCCTTACTTCCACTTCTAAACCTGGCTCTAAAAAGTTGTTAAATTTGAAAACAGCAGGATTATTCTTCCTGTGTGATTATTTTACTTGTTACAACAGGTCTCACTGCAGAACAATTTAAACCCATGACAAATTAACGAGCAGAGAAAACCAACCTCACGAAGCTAAGTTCACTCACATTAAATTCAATCCCAGTATTTCTAGAATTAATGTTTTAAAGATGATGCGGGTTGCTGTCAGGTTTTTGTGAATAAGACATTGACCTTTTCTCCACAAAAGATACGCAGTATCTTTTTTAAAAAGTATATGAAATTTTCCAAGAAATTGAAGTTGAG